ATCATTCATCGATCCAGTCTAGCACAGCTGAATATATAAGTTTCATTCTCCACGCTTATTCAGAATAGTTAAATAGCCAGTTGTGAATACAGAACAACGCTTGATTATACCTACAAGAGTATTATCTACTAGTTGTGTGAACAAACCCTTTTATCCTTGTTGATTGCCCATAGTCCAGCCTGGCTTATCCGCCAATATAAACCTAGTACAAGGTTTATCCCTTGGGAATTCCTCTTATATTAACCGTATAGGAGCTCAGCTTATCACATTTCTGGGGATTAAGATTATCAAAGACTGCGAAAAGAAGGAGCTTTAGCTATCGCAGGCCTTATATATAGCCTAAGCAGCCAATAAGCTAATTAAGCACCAGATTAAAGGTCTAAGGCAGCAGCCAATTATGCCACTATCAAAGGAATCATTATATCTATTTAATCAGGCTTATGATAAGGAAGAGAAGTTATATTATGCTTCTATCGTTAGTTATTTATTGTATCCTTTAATTATAACAAGGCCCAACCTAGCATTTGCAGCAGCAAAGCTATCACAATTCTCATATAACCCATTAAAGCAGCACATCGCCGCGGCAGAGGCATGCCTTAAATATGCCTTCACAGCAAGGGATCTCTGTATTTATTATACCGCAGAGATCGAGGAGGTAGTGCTTAGCTGCAGCACTAATGCATTGTTTGCAGACGACTTAGAGACTAGGAAGTTATCTCAAGGATTCGTTTTTAAGCTATTTAGCGGCCCCGTGCTATAGAAGTCATTAAGGCAGGCCACAGTCACGACTTTAACAACTGAAGCTGAGTTATTGGCCCTTAGCAATGCGACAAAAGAAAAGATCGCATTCGGGAGGTTGTTGAAAGAAATAGGGGCGAAGGTCGCGGACCAGATGGTTATCTTCTGTAATAATCAGCAGACTATTCGACTTATGCATAACGACATAGAGAAATTGCACATGAAGCTTCGCCACGTTGACATACATCGTCATTGGCTTCAAGAGGCGGCATTGCAAGGCCAGCTCGAAGTTGAATATCTCGAATCAAGGGAGATAGCTGCAGACGGTCTTGCAAAGGCGTTAGACTGTCAATCTCATTAGAAATTTGTTCAGCAGCTAAGAATGCGGTCAAGACCTAGAGATTGAATAGATCCTGATACTGCTACTAGTGATACTAGCAGCTATGGATACTATCGGCTACTAAACAATACTATCCCCAATTGTCATGATAAATCGTGTGTGCGGTCTCTATGGCTTTCGCACATTAAAGCCAAAGACCATGGAGCCCGCACACACGATCAGGCATAACAATCAGACGGGTAGATGGGATACCATCTAGAAGCCTCATTGGGAAAAGAAAAAGAAAGAGGAGGAAGAGAGGGAGAGAAGCCACAACTTTATAGTTATAGAAGGTCACACAAAGGCCACACGCGATCAGTAAGGCGGTGGCAGAATCATCAGATCAGCAGCTTCTCAACGAACCCGGATTTAACCCAGAAAGTCATAGGGATCCCCCTCAACGGCCGGATTAGCAAAAGCATTAAATTCTGTTTATTTTCATCATCATGGTAGCTTCATTTTAACCCTAAGATTGATCACAGGGCTTAATCTGAAGGGGTGTGTCGGTGGGATATTACGCAATTGTTAGATAAAATCATAGTACCCACTTGGCGCACCATTTTCCTAGCATAAATAAGTAGCTTCCTTCTTTGGGATCAAACCCTAGATAGTTGCACAACGCACATTCGTTAATCAAGGATTTTCCACACTCTATTATATAGCAGAGCGATCGCGTAGAGCGCTCTAGCGATTAGGTTTGGCGCTCCCTTCCCTTATTGGTTAGAACGGAACAACCTTGTTCCAGGTATATACTTATCTTAGGTTAGATAATGCCAGGGGTATAGGATTATATAAGATTACGTCTTATTTTAGCTAAACTAAGTCTAGGGTAACTCTATAAATACCTTACCCCTCTTTTTAATAATTATAAAAAGGGGGAACCAAACTACATTAGAGCTTTTAACCTAAGACAGTTATTAACTCTTTTTTCCAAGCTTTCTTATACTATAATAAGAATACGCAAGACTTCCACACGCCGCACGCCAGATAACCACAACCCTTTATAACCCTTGCAAGCCTGCTTCTACAGCATCGCCCTTTAAACTATACCTGTTTGTTCTAAGCCTTATCCATGTGACTGACTCCTTTCTAATCCTGCTCTTTACGGTAGTGCACATAGCTACAACTCCGAGCCCGCTCTTTACAGCACCACGCATCACACACTAGACAACCATAACTCTTCCAGGCTTTCTGCCTCTACGAGGCAAGAAATACATCAAGGATAAGTCTTCAAGAGACTGTCCCTAACGCCAGTGAAGCAAAACACGAGCCCAGATACACCCAACTCTTCCAAGCTTGTTCTTTGATACAGCGCAAGATAAAAACCTTATGCTGTATTAAGGACACGTCGGATATCCCAGATTATTACTCAATGGTCGAGGCTTTTAGCATCGCTCTCAATGGTTGAGAGGAAGACTCCAGCGCCACCCTAAACAACTACAACTCAATCGAGTCTTCTCCAGCTAACCAGGCCTGCTGTTCTTACGCGAGCAACAAGGGCACTGGACGATGAGAGACTAAATATCGTGGTGCGGGAAGCAGAAGCTCCCTACCACTGCGCACTACACAAAAGCCTGCTTTACAGCACGAACAGCCCTGGCTTTGACGAAGGCGGTTTTTGGTAACAAGCACAGAGTGTTTTGGTTCGACAAAAGGCCACTTTTTACAGCAGAAGCAGGTCCGGCTAAACAAGCCTGTTTTCTGTGCGACGCCAGCTTGACTATAAGGCTGATCTCCCTAGTTGCCAGCAGGCTTTGCGACTAGCTTAGGTGCTAGCATGCAGCAGGCTTGCAATTAGGACCAAGAGGCAGTGTTATCGTCATGCGAGCGTGTTACTTATCTAGCCCTACGAACTGTGGGTGTTAATAGAAGCTGTTGTGGTAGCACAGACAGTGCTGCTTCGGACGGAAGACTTCTGTTGACGCGCATGGGGAGTTCCGGTGTGACAAAAGAACACGTTTGCAGCAGAAACGGGTCCGGCTTTGATAAGCCCGTTTTCTGTGTGTTGGCTAGCTGGTTAGGAAAACTGTTCTCCCTAGTTATGAAGCTGGCTTTGCAACTAGGACCAAGAGACAAGTGAGACTTCCATGTAGAAAGTGCTACTTATTAAGCCCTACAAGCTGTCCTTGCTAGCAGGAGCTGTTTTTGTTAGCCAGCGTGAGCTGTTCCGGCTTGACGAGTCTACTTTTACAGCATATATTATACGGCTCGGTACACGTTCTATTTTTTCCAGCAGCATACGCCAGCACACCCACTGCGCTCATGTTTTTACAATCGAGAAACGTGACGTTGCGGGAACACCTGATGTTCTCTGCGGTATTTGCGAACCCGAATTGGCCTCTACTTCTGACGTTGGCGTCTATAACGCCTGTGTTGAATCGCGACAGGCTTTTCAGAAACGCTATGCCCAGCTGCGTCGACAGTCTGAAACATGCTTCGGTTGCGATCTGTTTTTGTTCGACCACCGCACACAAGGACCGCCCGATACATTTATCACCGTTCGTCCGAAATGTGATCTCGTCATCCTACAGGCTAGGCCAGGCAAGCCTTGGCCACTGTACATATCGTCATTAGTCACAAAATATATGGCTAAATTTGGCAAAGTGGTAAACATTGGCCTTACGTACGACGCAAGCTGGCTAGCTGGCCTAGAGGATATAACATATAAGGATCTTTACGAAGAGGAAACACCTCGGGGGTGTTTTATGCGGATTGTTGAGCATATTTTTTTTCAAGACACCGTTCTATAGTTAATCGACCAAACAATGGTACTAGATAACACCCCAACTTCGGAGGTTACTGCCAATCTTAAGATCTTTCACAATGGCCCTAATCGGTTCTGCGAGGTTCCGAGGAAAGAAGAGCCTACACCAAATTCAGCAGTTGCCTTTTTAAATACTCTTCAACATCAATTTTCGTTTACACCACTAATGCCACTAAGTGTAAAGTGTTTTCATATGCGTCAATTAAAAGTATCAGTTCAGAAATAAATATATTATTTTATTTTTCTACTTATTATAGTTAGCAGCCTTTTTATCTTATCTCTTATCTCATTTTTTATTTCATCTCTTATCTTATCTTTTATTTTATCTCTTATCTTATCTCTTATCTTATCTCTCATCTTGTCTCTTATCTTGTCTTTCATCTTCGCTCATTTAGCTTGTCTTCCAACTATAAATACCCCTCCCCCTCCCCCTCTCTCTTTTTTACACTCTCTCCTTTATCAAATCCGCTACCGTCTTTTTTGTTCAACTGACTTGTTTAACCGGCTTGTTTTTTGACACCTTTGTTGTTCAACTGGCTTGTTCTTTGACGTCCTTGCCTTTTGACTGGTCTGTTCTTTAACCGGCTTGTTCTTTGACACCTTTGCTGTTCAACCGGCTTGCTGTTCAACCGGCTTGTTATTCAACTGGCTGCTGCTCTACGGCTTGTGTTTTGACGCTTTGCTGTTCAACTGGCTTGTCCTTCTTTCAACTGGCTCGACGGTCTAACTGCTGTTTTGTTCCGCACCTTTGGTCTTCGACGCCTTGTCCCTTTGACCCCTATTTTTAGCGCCAAAGTATTTTGTATACAGGGTTACAACGCAAGCTTGAAGATTGTGCGTTTCCGCTGGGATAGGCTGCTGTCTCCCGTGCCAGGAGTTCCCCGGCCCGGAACAATATATAGCAGGGATATATAGAGTTTAGCAGTATATCACTTTATATCTAGAAAAGTACTTTAACAGTAATAGCAGTGCGTCCTGCGCATATCTCTTCTTAACTACCCCTATAACTAAGTAACTGTCTGCATCCCTTCCTTTCCTTCCTTTCGTTCTCTGTAAAATGCCAGCATCCTACTGTATAATATAAGACATTCTCAAAGAGTCTACCTTATCACGAATTCGCTAGAACTCAAGCTGCCACACCCTCAGGAACTCTGTATTACCACGGATTATGTTCGACTCCAGCTTCTCAATTCGAACTTCAGGGTGTAAATTCTTCGCTTTCATAACGCATTCCGTATCGTTCCCGAAGCTCAACGCCCACCACAATTCCTTCCATTGGTCGTAGATCTCACGGGTTGCCTCGTCCGCCTGTACGGTTGCTAGCTCCTTTCTCCGCTGATCGTCGCAGCGGCTCCCGTCACAGAACCAGACCCAGACGACCTGTCTGCCTGAAGTGATCATTACTTCGACCACGTGGAACTGGTTGGGCTTGTATTCTCTGAACACTCGGTAAAAGTCATGGTCTGTGAAATGTCCACTCATGAAGCCGTCGGCGCCGGGGAAGTGGTCTTGGACGAAGAGGCGGGCTCCTGTGGCTCTGCCAAACGCTCCCTTGGGGACTTGGTTTTCAGACATTTTCTGGGTATGTGCCTAGGAAGGAACAGATTCTTGCTGACTGTGTTGACTGTGCTGATTGTATTGACTGTGCTGATTGTGTTGACTGTGCTGATTGTGTTGACTGTGCTGATTGTGTTGACTGTGCTGATTGTGTTGACTGTGTTGAGCTGAGCGTTATACAGTAAAGAAAGCGAGATAAATGCGGTTTATATAGTTAATTTGAGAGATTCTCCATGTCGTTGGGTAAAGTTCTATTTACGGGAGCTTTGCCCTGATCAATACTTAAATTGAACATCTCAAACAGTTCATTCATACAGAACCCTTAAACTCCTTTGTATTATTTAGCCGTTGATTAAAATAGCCTGGGTAATCAGTGTCTGTTCAATCCCATGAACAGCACCCTGATTGATACTTAAATTGAACATCTCAAACAGTTCATTCATACAGGATGTTAGGAACGGCGGCTCAAAGGAAGAGTGAGAGAGTCAGGGGTCCAAGGGCACGGTCATTCTCACGGACCACGCAGCTAGGGATACACAAAGGATTGTATTTATCTCTGACCTTCCTAGAAACAAAGGGTAGATGGTTCCCTTCTTATATCCTTTGTTCAACCTCTTCAGCCACCTAGCTGACTAGTTGATAACTCAAACGCCCCTATCTGGGTTCAAAGACGAAGGGATCACCTTCTTTGTGACTGGCCTCTGACACAGGACCCTTAAACTCCTTTGTATTATTTAGCCGTTGATTAAAATAGCCTGGGTAATCAGTGTCTGTTCAATCCCATGAACAGCACCCTGATTGATACTTAAATT